ACATTTACCGCACACTTTTCTGTATTTCTTTTACTTGCTTCCTACGTCATTGAATCAGCGCAATGGACAGCCAATCTCCGGCGAACGAGCACCCCATGAAGGCGTTTGGATGGGCGGCCAGAGACCCTTCCGGCAATTATCTCCCTTCAATTTCTCTAGAAGGTTTTTTTCTAGATTTGTTTGATGTTTATACAAATGTGTGCCTCATTTTATGCCGAATATGACTTATTTCATGACAGCAAATTTAAAATCTGCTGCGGTGGGGAGATTAAAATTAAGGAGATTCGTTTTGCAGGGCAACCGGAGAGAAGGACGTGGCATTCAAGGTTCTGTACTGTGGGATTTGCCACTCTGATCTTCACACAGTGAAGAATGAATGGGGCCAAACTGTGTACCCTGTTGTACCTGGGTATGTTTTCTTTTCTTTCCTACTTTGAATATTGGGTTGCTTTTAGGGCCAAACCATATTACTAATATATAAATTATGAGATGCACACATGACGTGGGGCAAATTCAAATCGTTAAAATACTATGTTGCTAAATTCTTATATTTGATTTGAAAAGAAATAAACGAAAGTTAGTAGATTTTTAATGAATAAGATTTGATAATTTTTAATGTTGTTATAATTTGATTGGCAAAAAGTATTATCTCTTTCATTAATTTCATTCAAATTAAACATACTCTAAATAAAAATATATCTATTAAATATTTTCGTAATTTTTTTATTTTAATTACATAATAAGAGACAATTATCTCACATCTCACTTACATACTATATGACTCAAATTTAAAATCTTTTACTTTCAGAGAAGGAAATGTTAACTGAATTATTTAGATTGTTGACAAATATATTTTCTTAATTTTAATTAAAGGCATATCACCTATCTCTCTACCATTTTATTATTATTTAAAAATAAATAAATAAATAAAGGCTTGTGACCATTTTTTAAAATGGTAGAAACGATTACAACAGCTTTTTGAGGGTGTTGAATTTTTTTTTTTTAGAAAGTATAGAGGTTGTTAATTTTAGTTATACTATAATTGATTTTATCTATACTGTTATAGATTTAGTATTTAGCAACCATAAATGCTCTCTTTTACACGTTGCAAATGTGGTAGGAGTTTACCAGAATTAGTTAAATTTTAATATTTCTTTACCATGTTAATGTCTTTATGCTTTACGCGCAAAATAGAAATGAGCGGACTTTGGTTGTTTTCAGTTAATTCCATATTATCTTCATATAAAAATTGAAATTGCTTAATACAGACATGAGATTGTTGGTGAAGCGACAGAGGTGGGGAGCAAGGTGACCAAGTTCAAAGTTGGGGACAGAGTAGGAGTGGAGTGCCTGGTTGGATCATGCCACTCCTGCGACAATTGCACCGATAATCTTGAGAACTACTGTCCAAAAATGGTACTCACCTTTGGTGCCAAGTACCATGATGGGACCATAACATACGGAGGTTACTCTGATATCATGGTTGCGGATGAGCACTTTATAGTTCGTATTCCAGAGAGCCTGCCACTTGATGCTGCTGCTCCTCTTCTCTGTGCTGGGATTACTGTTTATAGTCCATTGAGATACTATGGTCTTGATAAGCCTGGCTTGCATGTTGGAGTGGTTGGCCTAGGCGGGTTAGGCCATGTAGCAGTGAAATTTGCTAAGGCCTTGGGTGCAAAGGTGACAGTGATCAGCACCTCTCCTAACAAGAAAAAGGAAGCTATTGAAAAACTTCGTGCTGATGCATTTTTGGTCAGCCGTGAGAAAGATGAGCTGCAGGTACTTGATCATTAACGTGTTGTTAATGGTTGTTGATTCAAAATTAATTCTTGTTACGAATCTAATGACATTATATGTCATATAGGCTGCCATGGGCACCATGGATGGTATCATAGATTACAGTATTTGCACAATACCCTCTGCTTCCATTAATTGGTCTCTTGAAGTGTCATGGAAAGCTTGTGCAGGTTGGTATTTCAGAGAAGCCACTTGAGTTACCAGTATTTCCTTTACTAATGGGTAAGCACGGTTAGATACTTTACGTTGCAGAATTTTCAATGGTGTGCTTCTTTGATCAATGTGTATTTTCAGGCCAACCGGTGCTATTTTGTTTCAGGATATGGAAAATTCAGCGGAAGTTTGATATTTGTTTTTTTTTTTTAATAAAAAATGGCCATCTCCATTTTGTTTGTAATTTTTTAAAGCCAAATCCTTATATTTATCTCTTAAATAGAAGGTAAGTATAGATCTAATATTTTAAAAAAATAGAGATAAATTATTTTTTAAAATTATTGATTGAAACAAATAACTTATTATTAGTTAAAAACAGACTTACATGGCAAGAGGAATGCTAATATTCGGGATGTAAATGTTAAATATTGAGTGAATTATTTATCTCAATTAATAACTAAAAAAATAATTTATTCTTACTTTTTTTCAAAAGATAAATTTATCTTTTAAAAAAATATTATATAATCTGAATTATATCATACTACATAATTATAATTATTA